TGTTCATTAAAGACCATGTAGGTCTTTTGCCGCCTTAACAAGCCTGCTCCATCTCTGCCTGTCTTAGACTATTTCTTTCCATTTGTCTGAACGCAGATCTGTTGCATCTTTGTTGATTTTATCTATCCATCTGCTTTTCATCAATCTGGCATTCATTGTTACGTGGAGGCTTCCAGATGGATTGTTAGGAGCTATATGGCCCGTCCATCTTAACCTCCATGCCTCTATATCATGGGATTAAGCAAAAGATATAATTTTCGAAATATCAACTTTTTAATAATAGGATTTATTTATAATTACTTCATATCACTAAGTTGTACTCTCAGGTTATTCTTTATCTCACTTTAAAATTAACAGCTGATGCAGATAATCAGTCTTTATAATTAGCAGCATATAACATAATTTAGATTATAATTAGTATTATAAGACTCACAGTACTATATGAAATTAGATTACTATAGAACTTATATTTATCTCTTTTCGTTTTAGAGCTATCTCATTCCGAACAACTTACCCTGGTAAAAAAAAAAAAAATAAAAGAAATACCTGTGTGTATACCACGGGCTGATCTATGGAGGGGGGAGGGCTTTGGGGCTGAAGCCCTTCCCTTAAATTATTAATGTTCGTGTAATTACATTTATTAATAGGACTTAAAGAATTACTTAAACACCATTTCATATAAGCAGTTAGTGTCCTTTCTCCTTTCAAAATAATAATCGTCATATGTATACTAAATAAATTAGTGTATATGTATATTAAATCCTGAATCCGTTACTGGTGTATACCAGAGATATTACTATTCTTTAAAACACTCCGACTAAATAAGCATAATTCATCACAATACGAAGTTAAACACTTACGAAAACCGTTCTGTCGGATATATGAAGAAACAATTCTTTGTTAAGAAATAGGGCAAAAGGATGTTTTAAGTTAGGGTGAAACTCGGTATTCTCCTACACGTCCGCAGAGCCGTATTAACTATTCTCCTCCTTCACATTACGAGTATCTTATATTTGAAACAGTTTCATACTCTTACTATCACATAAATGTAAGTCAGAGATAAGCAATTCAAACGTTGAAACATATTCAACGTTTAACACAAGAGACAAAGTATAAATATAAACATAAATAAATAAAAGCAATTGCTTGTCGTGGTTTGTAGACAAACTTTTAACTTTTAAAGGGGTATATTTGATAACCGACTTAGCGTATTTAAATTACTATTTAAATACGTTAATAAAATTTAAATCAGAAAAATTGGACCGTTTACCTCAGACATAAATCTTTTAGCAAGAAAACAAATATTGTAAGCTGAGTGTACAAGATATTATTAGAATAATCGAAATATGTAAATAAAATAAAATGTTACGTTTCTGTATACTTTAATCTTGAGTTTATTTCAGATATGGAAAAAATATTAATTTTGACCTTTTAATTAATTAATTTTTTAATTATATGTATGTTAATTATCAAACACAATTCGTTAAAATTAGAAGAAAAGTTGGTGATATATTCTACCAAATCATGTCGTTATTTTTTTTTTATACGGGTCCTTACAGTTATTTTTTTCCGATTTACTGATAATTTTTAGGAGGAACAAAATTTAGAAAATTTTAAATATTCATATTAGGGTTTTTGTATTGCTCTTTTTCCATAAAGCGTGGTTATAACCATACCATTACTGGATATTAAAGAAACAGGTGAACCTCCTTTATAAATTAACTTAACTTAGAAGATTATCACTTCAATTTGGAATTTAGTAATTAATTTTGAACATAAAGTTCAATGATATATAGTTACGTAACTTTTATAAAACCTTAAAATCTACTCGCCAAGTTATAAAGTTCTCATTTCTAAAATTAGAACCTAAAATGTAATAGGAAATTATAAAAATCATTTTTCCTAACAATACTGTCCCTATCGAAAAAGGCTTCTTCAGCAAATCAAAACAAGTTTTGTGATATGTGAGTTGAAACTTTTTTATCATTTTATTTTATGTATTTTTATGTCACTAATGGATCAGTAGAAACACCTAAATTTGGCTAAACTTTCAACCTATATAATGAGATACTGAATTAAATTCGTTGTGATTATATATCTGTTGTAATAGTGTGGAAATACAAAATATTACTAACTGTTACCATAGGTTTTATGAGTATTATAGTAATACTCTATAAAATCATAAAAATTATTGCTAAAAAAAATATATACATATAGGTCATTTCTAAATAATGGGATTATTTATGGTTCGTCTAAGCCACCATAAAACTAATTATAAATAATATGAGATCACGGTTATTAATATTTTAGTACGCATTAATTAACAGTAATCCAGAAAAAATAATATAAGAAAAAATTATTTAAATATATCACCATACTTTTTAACAATCAGTGCCTAATAGACACTAATTTGAGGGCAGTGAGAAACCAAGCAGACAATGCGACATAATCGTAAAAACAACATAGCAATAACCAAATATTTTGAAGGATAATGCAAATAGTACAAAACAATATATTTTTTTCTTTAAACCTCATATTTTATGGTTATAGTTATTTTTTCCTCATATTTTATGGTCATATTTTTTTTAATCTCGTGTTTTATGGTAATACATCTTTTTAGACCTCATATTTTGTGGTCGTATATTCATTTTAAAAAAACTTTTATTTGATGTCCAACTATCCCTAAAGAGGTCTGAAACAGTAATATTGCTTCTGAATTTCATTCTTTCTTATTTCTTTCAGAAATCCTTCTCTGACCGAATTCAAGAATTGGATTTTGGAAAAAAATTTATTTCGAAATATATATGGAAAACTACTGTCGAATATTTTTTTAATAAACGGGTATTTTTTGAGACCCTAATAATAACCATTTTTTTTTTATTTTAATAAAAAACAATTTTTTTGTGGCATTTCTCAAATGGTAGACATGTAATGCTATCCTTTTATTATTATTAATAATAACGAATTGAGCTAAAATATTATAAATAATACATAGTAATTATAGTAATAATATATAACCCTATTTATTATATTATATTTAGAACATAAGTAACTAATGTGAGTCTGTTTAACGTTGCACATTAGTTACTTTAACATGATGCCGATGATTTATATACATCAGTATATGACACGAATATTTGATTGCCTTTTTTACTAGAAAATTAAATGTAGATTACTTAGCAGACAATATATACTTGACTATTTTCTTAAAAAGAAAAAACTATTTACATAGTACCTTATATTATATCTGTGACAAAAAACGCAACATAAAGTTTGGAATTTTCAGAGGTGCAGATTGTCATTTTTCGACTTTCAACCCATGAATCACAAAGAAATATTCATATCTCTAATGCGGGATAACTTAGTCCATTAGACAAAAATTAGCTTTCTGGTGACACCCATAAAAATTCACAAACTTACTAACATAGCACAATGGATAGGTGTCACGGATAAATAGATAATAAAATTTACATTTATATTACGATTGTCGATGCTTGAAATTTATAGATGAGAAAAAATATTGTGGAGAATGTAATACGTTGAATTTATATATAACTCTTTTTTATGGATTACAAGAAAATTAAAATAATAAAATTAAAAAATTGAAACGTCTAAAAGGATGAAAGAATAATTGGCAATAATTAGGCTTCTTGATCTAGTAGGTTCGATGATAGAAGTTAAATATGTTTACTTTTTTTTTTTTAATGAATTCCATTAGCTCCCAATCAAGACATTAATACGATAAGAAGCTTTTGATGTAAAAATAACAAAAATAACTTGAATTTCGAAAACGCTGACGTGAACAAAACCCATTGGCCAGACAATGCTTGTTCTTTAATATCCTGTATGGTATTTATAAACTCACAGTACAACCAATCGCATACAAGTTATAAATTATTACTTGCTCTTGCATTAACACATAATATGAATAAATATAAAAAATAAAATCCTCAATTATCTTTTTTTCAATGACTACTTACTTAAAATCTTGAAGTATAATTATTCTCACTAGATTCAGGTATAATACAAAAAATATTATCAATTTACATTTTTTCTTATAAAAAAAAAACAAAAAAAAAACAGATTATACAAGAATAAAAAAAAATAAAATGAAAATTCATAATGTTATATTAATATCGATTTACCATTAACTACTGTTAATGGTAAAGCAGAACAAGCAGAAAGAAACAGGCAGTTCTTTGTCTGTTCCACAGGAACCTATAAATAAAATATATTTCATTTTCAACACTACACATAGTATTTTTTTTTTTTAATTTTATTTATATAACTATTCTTTATTCTGAAATAATTAATTTATTATTTCATACCCGATTTATGTATGCACAGAGTGATCAGGAATAATAATAATTTCTTTCATAATCTGGTGGTAACGTTTATATTCTAATATGAGAACGATATTAACCAATAATATCATGGCTTACAGATTGGATTGAAATATAAAAAAAATAAAAATAGCAGAAATAACATTAACTTAATGATACAATTTTAATTTTATGACTTAAACAATAACCAATTAAAAATTATAATAAAAAGGTTTAGTAAATGCAGAGTTTAGATCTCTACACAAATTACGATCTATGTATAGTACAGAATATAAAAAATATCAACAAAAAAAAATTAACAATACTAACATTTAACACCATATTTGGTTGGCAAAGCATGATTAGAATCACGGTGTAAATAGTTTTTAATTTTAATTATTCGTTAACTATTTTAATTGAAGCGTGTGTTGGTGACTCGATAAAACACGAGTGATTTTTCTGTGAAAAAAAGTTAACATAAGAAAAACGGAATTTTTATAAATGTACTGCATAACAAATGGCTATATAAACATCTCGATATATTTTGGAGGAATATATTGGGAGTACTTGTATACTTTTAAATATTATAGTTTTTTTTTATAAGAAGAAAACTGACAATAATTGTGGACATAGTCTCCTTCCCTTTTCATTAGTGAATGAGCGGCTATATCGGCATGAATGAAGCTATATAGAAGCCGGTACTACAGGAGCCTACAACCTCATGTCCTGCATTGGAGTAGCGGTACCGAAGGGTGCGGTGCTCTTCCGTTCTCCTACTGGATAAGTCACCATTTAAGTCCTTCAGTCCCAGCCGGCCTGCGCTTAGGAGAAAAAAAGACGCGCAATCGAGCCGCCAGTTATCTCACTGTAGGAAATGCGTCACTCCCTCCATGGCAATCCGGCAATCCTTGTTAGTACCTGACAGCAGCAACATTTCTAGACCGCGTATAATTTATATTTATATAAACATATTGTGTATATGTGATTGGTAAAGCTTGCGTATGCTTTCAGTATGATCACAAGGAACACTTCCATCAAACAACATCGCATCAATGTTTGTTAACATATAATTTATGCTTTATGTAACTGTATAAATATTACAACCAAAATAATCTCTGACTATATCTCGAAAGTAATTTATTTGTTTCATACTGCTTTTTTTTAGCCCCAGTGAGGTTTTTTTATTATTACTTTTATCTTTTATTCTACTCTTACTACTAGCTAATACGAATGGTCACAACAGTGAGATTTTACTCATGTCTGCCTAAAAAAGCCATTCACAAGTTCCTAAACTTAGCGCTGATCACATCGATGCCATTGTACCCGTCGCTGAACTGTTAAATGATGCTATCGATAAAATCGGTGTTTAGGAACTTACCCAATTACATCTTGTGCTGTGCATACACGGGGTACATCCCTGAATTCGTCTACCGACCTCTACCCGGCAGCCTCCTTAGTGTAATTTCCTCTGCCCGTCCTAATTAATGAGAAGTAAATTAGGCATAAAATGTTCCTTAACCTATATATAAAATATTTGAAATATGAAAAAAAAATATATATACTCATGAGTAATTAATTAAAAGTACTACAATTTGAGATCGAGTTGGTCTCTCCAGACCATACAGCCTCTGAGATACAGGTATCATAAATTTCATAAATTTACTATTTTGTTTTTGAAGTATTCGTGAATTTTATTTTTCATTTACAATCGGCTTTCAGTAATATGTGACAAATGATTTACTATGGTAAGAATTTAGTAAATGCAACATTTGAAGGGAAGCAGATGGGAGAAGGGGGGAGAAAAGAGTTCTTACACCGACTAACTATTAACCTTTTGAAGTTTTGTAACTTTGTATGAAAGAGACTATTAGGTCTGCAGAGACCGATTTCAATTAAATAGGAAGTGTAAGTTTCACCTCGAGGAGTAAACTTAATATTTTGTGATTTTTCTTGGTTGAGTCGAATTTTCACCAGTCATGAAATTTTACTGTATGATATAGTTGAGTCTGTGAGGAATTTAAACATTATAATGTTGTCATTGAGTTCTTGTTTCTTCGACTGATAATATTACAAAATATGTCAATAATAATAACAGATTAGGAGTTACAAAAGTTTGAACATTCGACAAAAAAAAAATAGATTATCTGAAACAATGTGGCCTTTCAAGATATTAAAAAGAAAGAAAAGTGAACTTAACGGCCTTCAGCGGCGCGTTTATGACGACGCTACCTTGACTAATTTCCTACGCTTTCAATGAAGTACAGTTATACAGGAATCCATGTAGCGGTGACAAAAAAATATTATAAGGTATAAAGGATGTATTTTAATTGCTGATCAGTTTGTAATTCAGGACTGTTTGAATCGTTCATGACCTACACGGCTTCCGGGTCAGCCTCAACAATGGAGGAATGCCTCAATGGAAAAGTGAGAGGAAGGTTTTGCTTTGCTTGCTCACCCACGCAGTTCCTCCAGATATCCTCATTCTTATTTCGACATCATTACTGGTCTATTTGTTGAAACTATCAGTGCTAAGGATTGATGCAATCAGAAAAAAAAAATTCAAAATTAAAAGTAAATTATTCCATCGTTTAAAGGACAAAATTTATTTAAATTTTAAGCATATTGTTCCTTATTCAACATTATATATTTAATAATAGGCAAATGTTGTAATAAAATGAATAAGGAAAAAAATACAAATATAAAGTTGAATTTACAGTAATCCTGTCTACGCTACTGGTACGTAACATAATACCATGTAAATTCCTCCTTCACTTGCTTGGTCTCCACTGAATCCTATACGAATGGAGTGCGGCGACTGCGGATCACTTTTTTTTTTTAGGACTTTTAATCCTTAAATTTTCCGCCATAAAAGGGGACATACTTTACATTACATTCCTTCTAATGTTTGAACCCAGAACCCATGTCGCGTAAGTTATGATATCAACATATACAAAATTAGTAAAAACTTAAATAAAAATAATAATGATATTAACGAGTTTCGACTCTTCAGTCAACAGCCAGTCAACTTTTAAGATTATTATTATTATTATAAATTAGTTGCAATATAATCATTATTTAATAACAACCTAATTATTATTTTGTTTTTTAATTAATTTATTATATTTTGATATTACAACTTACAAAAATATTTATAGAAATATTAAAAACTTCAATTAGATTTAGATATGTCAACTACGGTCTATATTATGGAAGTTATATATTAAAGGTAACACTCACACTTTTCAATGTTGTCTCAATAACGATCTTACTTTTTTTTTAAAGATTTATATAGTTACTTTATTATGTGTTTTTGATATATTCTTCGTTTTGTTTCTGGGCATTAAAACGTTTCTGGTTTCAATTTTATACTAAAAAAAATTCTTAATATTCTTAAAATACAATATTTAAGTATTGTATACAAATTTGCTTTTGAACATTAATAAACAAGTTTTATTTTAAAATATGCACTTGTCACTCTATTATTTATGTTACAAAGAACTCCAACACGGCTAATGATAATATACTGATTTCATCAAATGTCATGGACAAATAAATTATTTTTGTGTGATAACTTCTAGATAGATCAATATCATATAACTAATTTTAAAAGTAATTTAATGATAGTCATTAATGGTAAGATATAAGTTCGTGTGTACAATACTTTCAAAATCTGTAGATACGATCTCGTGAGGTTAACATCCGCGTTTAGAAGACTTCAAAGGAAGTAAAATATAATTTATTATTTATCTCTGAATAATTAACGAAACTGCAGGATGTTTTCTTCCTCTAAATCTCGTTTTGAATCTTTCAAAAGTATTGTCTAACATCGCTTAAAATTACTCAATTTCTCTTCTTTCATCACCGTTAAAATCTCGTTTTATAACGATTAGTTCTGCATTATATTTATTTACAACCCGAAAACAAAACTGTTTATTAATAACTACCATTATTAACATTATCTGTTGAGTTGTTATAAAATTACAAATAGGAAACGTATGGAATGTTCACTTTGTAATCGGTCCGTGTTTACTTAATTTACATTAAATATATATATACTACCTATCTGTATTATTTCTATAATTTTTTAATAAATGCATATTGCCTTTAAGCTGCAGTGACTCAGTACCTCAAAGAGAATTAGGATACATTTATTTATTGTTAATAATTAGTCAACATCCATTAAATAAACTATGGTTATATTTACCTAAACACACAAATTAATATAAATATTAAAACAATCTGGAAATTTCACCGAATGAGGAAAATTTATAAAAGAGTAAAAAAAAATATAACGTTTCCATAACTTTTGACAATTATTTTAAAATTGTTATTATAAAGGTATTGTGTCAGTACAATCTTAAAATTAATTTGCTCATTTATTTCCGAATTAATAAGGATTGAACTGATAAGTACAGTGATAGACTAAAACGTAGATAAAATTGTGTTAACACTTTATTTTGCGGATTTATGTTTGAAAAGAGGTCAAAGATTTGTCAATAGCAACATTTCGTATCAATATCGAACCTTCGGGTTCGCTAACCCCTCTACTACTGTATATTTTCTAAAAGATTCCAAATGTCATAGCAAATTTGCAGGTGTTGGATACATCAAAAAGTAAACAAAATAAGCGCTAAAGAATTTTTGTAAGAAAAGACTTGACACCAACTACAAAGAATAAAATATTTAATTGCATATTAAGATATCAGCAGAAAAGTTAGTTAGTACAGTATATAGTATATATAATATAGTGTAGTTAGTTAATAGAAGTAACTAAATATATTAATATACAATTTAGAAGTTATAATATATGTACTTCAAAGGTTATAATTTGTTGTCTTCAAAAACTTTCGAACTATTGAGTACGTTTATTAAAGCACTAACACAAGTTAAATTTTAAGAAATTTTAATTTGATAATTTTTAAGTATAAAATAAACGAATAAAAAATGTAACATTTGTTTTGTTTTTTTCAGGTGAGTGTTTCCAATATGTCTTCTGCTGAGTTCGTAAGTCTTCTTTTTTTATCTTATTTCATGAACGCGATAAAAGATTTTATTCAGGATCATAAAATTACTGAAAAAAATCTTATAAATATTAAAAATTACATGAAGTAGGCTAAACTATTAAAATAAACAACTTCCGTTAGAAGTATAGTATTCACCCCATGGAAGTTTAAATTAATTATTTAGAATATAATTTAATTATTAATTTTAAAATAATTATGACATTATCGCATAACTTAGGTTTACAGCAAGTACTTAGTAATTAAATTTGATGAGATGTTATCTTACAATAAACCGGTAATATAATCGTTATTTTAACACATATTCGTCCCCATGACATAAATACATCATTTCGCAATCAATATTAGCCAGTGACGAAAATTCGTCATTTTTATATTACTGAAAATAATTTATTCTTGTTCTAAATAAATAAATAATTTCAATTCTAACTAAACTAAATTCTGTTTTTCACCAAAAGAGGATAAAGACATCCCGTTTTAATGGCCGTACGAAAAATTGCTGGAAGAATATGTGTTAGTAAAGGCGAAGTTAATGTAATAACACACATGTATAAGATATTCTTATATTCTTATATTAAAACGTAAAAAGGATATCTTAGTAGTATTAAGCATAATTAATAATAGACATGTTCTATTTTCTTCACAATATAATATAAATTAAATGTAAAAGGTACTCGAAAGAAGTTGGAATTAAAGCTTCCATTAGTTTCTTATCATTTACAATCAATTCTCTTTTCTATTTAGGCGTGAACAATAAAATACTATTTTGATATATATATATATATTCATTTGACCGCACCACCGACCAACTTCTTCTCATATTATCATCACGGCAACCATCTCTACACTATTATGATTCCACTACTACGGGAACAACAACAAGATACCACTAAC